CACAGTCCTGTGAAATATAAACTACATCTTTTCATCCAAGGGCACAAGGCCATTAGGAGCAGAACTAAGAACTGACCTTAGTCTAGTCTGACTCAACAGTTGTTTTGTGAATGAAATGGGTCATAAAGTGAAGTAATACTATCAATCAGAAACACCCGTCAAATTGGAGCCAACAAACCTGAATTATGCAAACTCACTGAGCTTCAGCATCTTCATCTTACGGATAAGAATAGCTTACCTCATATAAGAGATTGTGAGGACTAAATTAAGGGAAAGGCCTTGGGTAAAGGCTGATTCACTGAACAGTCTTGACTCAGACCTCTGTATTTAAAAAGCCCAAATGAAGAACTTGCAGAGTCCAGAACAGGAAACATGTAGCTACAGGCTATGGACTTAGTAACTTGTTGCATGAATATAAATAACAAATGCAGTAACGTTACTTTTATTCAGAAGTTATGGTAAAAAGCAACATATAAATAATGTTCAAAACCTTTTCTCAATTTCACTACAATGGAATCAAGTTTTACCTGAATATTCACATGCATAGCTCATCTGCTGAGCTCTGATTTCAAAGAACATAGAAATTCCTTCTCCAATTTGGTTTTTAGATTTAGTTTTCCAAAATTTGGCTTTCCTTAAATATATATTTTATATTTCTTATTGTGCATTGTGTGAATTTTAACTTCATGTTCCTACTTTCTTTGATTAGACTTTGCATTATTAATGTTTTCTATTGAGATTTCACCATTAAATTTGGAACATAATTTCCATTTCTCTGGCTCATGAGTTGCCATTAGAATTGTTAGCCAAGCATGCAAAAACAATTCTTTGTAACCATTTTCTTGATTTGGAATAAAAATAAGCATCCATTTATTGACTTCTTCCTGAGTACCAACCATAGTAGTAGATGCTTTATGTACTTCATTTCTAACACACAGAGCAAATCTGTGTGATAGATATTATCCTCTCAAATATCAGCAGAAACATCATAAAGTGCCTTTGTCACTGGGATTGGGAGCAGTATAAGACTTGGAACTTGAACTATGTCTTTACTGTATTATATTTTCATAAAGAGAATAATGGAGAGATTTTACTTTATATAAGATTTTTTTACAGCCCCATAAAGATTTTTGCTTTATTTTGGAACGATATTTGCTTTATTTAAAAAATAACAAAAGATTATAAAACAACCACTTCACACTCACTAGTATGGCTATACTCAGAAAGGGAGAGAATAACAAGTGCTGACAAGGATGCGGAGAACCTGAACCCCTCGTACATTGCTGGTGGGAATGTAAAGTGGGCCAGCTGCTTTGGAAAGTGGTTTGCAGGTGCCTCAAAGTTAAATACAGAGTTACCATGTAGACCCAGAAATTCTCCTAGGTATACACCCAAAAGAAACAAAAACATATGTCCACACAAGAATTTGTACATGGGTGTTTGTAGAAGCGTTATTCAAAATACCCCCAAAGCAAAACAACCCAAATGTACATTTTTGATAAATGGATAAACAAAATGTGATATATCCATACAATGAAATATTGTTTGACAATAAAAATGAATGACATGCTAAAACATATAACAACGCAAATAAACTTTGAAAATGTACTCAGTGAAAAAAGCCAGTCACAGAAGACCACATATTGTATGATTTCATTTATATGAAATGTCCTGCGTAGGCAAATCTAAAGAGACAGATCAGTGGTTGCCTAGGGCTAGGAGATAGGTGTGGGGAAAGGGGGTGGTGAGTGACTGCTAATGGGTACAGGTTTCTTTTTAGATAGATGAACATTGCAAAACTTGGTAAATACATTTTTTAAAAACCATTGAATTGTACACTTGAAATGGATAAAGTTGTGATATACAAGTTATATCTCAATATAGCTGTTAAAGATTAGAGAACAACACCACAATATCCTTTTTTTTCTGTTTGATTTTAAAATTGGGTCTAAGCTCTTCCTCTACAAATAAGCTTGCTTATTGTGTAAGAGAAAAGTACTTGTTTTATCAAATTAAAGATGGAAAATACTGTCTTCATCTACTTAGCAGTAGTGGTTGTGGGTACCACTGGCCTTGAAATCTGATCAACTATGTTACTTGGCCAATTAACCTCTCTGAGGTTACTTGGCCATAGTTTTTACATTTATAAAATGGAAGTAATACTTTCTACTCATGGAGCTCCTGTAGAGATGAGACAGTATATAAAAGGGCCTTAACCCAGGGCCTCGAGTATTCAGATTCAACAAACTCAATGACTAATTATTTTATAAATATTCATGGAGGGACTACTATATGCTCAATAATTATGCTCGATCCATTTGTTTTCTAAATCATAATGTGAAACTTTAATGTGAATAATGCATTTTATAAATCTAGAAAGTCATAATATTATAATATGAAATTGTACTTGTAAGTTACAAGTTGTCTACAAAAAGGTGCATTAGTCATATTCAAGTAAATAAAGAAGCTATTTTTCTTTCCAACTTTAAAAAAGTGATAACAACTATATATCAATAGAGATAAGGTCAGCAGGAGTAGCTTGCCTTTTTTTCTTTTTTCTTTTTTTCTTCTTTAATTTTTCAGTTACAGTTGACATTCAGTATTACATTAGTTTCAGGTATACAGCATAGTAGTTAGACATTTATATAACTTAGAAAGTGATCCCCCGATAAGTCTAGTACCCACCTAGCACCATACATAGTTATCACAGTATTATTGACTATATTCCCTATGCTGTATTTTACTGTCTGCCATGACTATTGTGTAACTGCCAGTTTGTACTTAATCCCTTCACCTTTTTTTTTAATAATAAGAAATTGCTGCACAAACCAAAGGAATAGTTGGTCGTTTCAAGAAGCCATCTAGTGGCCTATTTAAGCATTACAGTTATTTATTTTGCAACACTTTTAGTTCAATATTTGGTTTTTATAACACTCAAATGAACTTCTTCAAAGGCAAAATTGTAAATTGAATAGTAAATGAGGCTGAAGTTGAGTTTAGAGTTCCAAAGAAGTCTAAAAGAGACTTTAACTGTATTCTTATTAATATGGACCAAATGCTTCAAATTCCCTCCATGGAATCCCCTGCTGTAATGTTGACCAGGCAAAAATGAAGTTAGTGAGCTCTTCTTATGTTCCACCATGCCCTGTGAGAGGTCTTTGAATACAAAGGTAAATGTGATCCAGTTTTTGTTTTCCAGAAGTTCACAGATTAGTGCCCTTAAGTACACAGATGGGTGATTAGGTAATATACTTGACCTGCAACAATTCTGCTGTGTTCATCATGTCTGGTGCTAAATACTTCTTACAGCAGAAGAGTGATTTTCTTCCAAGAAGTATTTGTTTAAGACTAATAAATTTTTTAATGAAGAAGGAAGATATACAACTCCATTACCTTTCAGTTATATTAGAGACATAAAAGCATAAAGTTAGTTGGAATAGACAGGGCAGACGTAAAAACATCCTAATTCAGAGGGAGTGGGCTTAGGAGGGGCAAGTGCATGTAAGAGGGGCCACACCTGACCACTATCTCTCTGTGTCTCTCTGGCTTTTGTACTAAATTCTTCCACTTCAGGGGCATTGGAATCTCAACTTTGTCATGTCTACATAACAACATATCTTTAAACAGTGTTGTGAGGCTCCAGAACAGCTCAGCACCTCCCAGAATTCCTGAAAATGTTGGAGTAAGTCCCTGTAAGGTCTATCTTGAATCCCTTTTGCCTTAGACCTTGACAACATGGAGCATTTTTTTTTTTGCTTTAGACATAGAGCACAGGAAGAAAGTTACTAAAAGCTGCAGATGACTTTTAAATTCTCACGCAGATCCCCTGCAGCTGATTGCTTTGGACCCAAGTTGAAAGTTAATAAAATGCAAAGGATGGAAAGGAGATCGATGGTTGCCAGGGTCCCAGGTTGGGGAGAGAGGATTAACTGCATGGGGGCACAAGGAAACTCTGGGGTGATGGAAATATTTCCCACCTTGACTGTGATGGTGTTTAGATGCCTGTCAAAGTTCACAGGACTGTACACTTTAAACAAGATGCATTTCACTCTGTGTATTTTACTCTATTTTTATTTAAACATTTAAAATATTAAAAAAAATGCAAAATTCCAACCCTATTTGGTCCATGGAGCAAAAAATCCAAGTAGTATTTTTTAATGATTTACTCTTCTTAAAAAAATTCTCAAGATCAGAAGCATTTCATAAGCTTGTGGATCTCATGCTTAAAAAATGAAACTATTAATAAGAAGGAAGTTTCTAGAATCTAGAAATAAAACAATTGGTTTTGCCAATAACATCTAACAAGCACTGCGTTATGGGCTTTACGTGATTTACCTCATTTAAAGTGTACAGCCCCCTGTAGGTCAGTACTACCGTTGAGGGGAAACACAGGGCTTGGAACAGTTAAGAAACTTAGCTAAGAACCCACAGATGATAAGCAATAAAGCCAAAACTCAAATCCAGATCAGTTTGGCTCCAAAGTGCAAGTGTATTTTATTTTACTCTATTATACTCTTTCTAACCAAAGGAGCACTTTCATTGTTTCCTTAAGTATTATTGTATCGCTGCAATATATTTTTGCTAAGAAAGCTGAAAAGTAACGTGGAAACCATGGCACAGTATAAGCACGTTTGAGGAGCAGGAGAGTTTCCGGAAACGCAAGGTAGTGCTGCTGGCCGAATGGGCAGGAGAAGCCTTCTCGGGGAGCCTGGAGTTCCCACGCCATCACTCGAGAAAGCAGCGTCTTTTGGGGGAACGATGATAAGCCCCAAAGATATCTGGTTCTCTTTCTAGTCCCTGTATCTTGTAAATGTCGCCTCATATGGATAAAGGGACTTCGTAGGTGTGATGAAGTGAAGGATTTTGAAATGAGGAGATTATCTTGGATTATCTAGATGGGCCCTAAATCATAAGAGGGAGGTTGAGGGAGATTTGACACCGAAGAGAAGGCAACGTGATTGTGGAGGCTAAGATTAGGGTGAGGCGGCCTCAGCCAACGCATGCCACAGCCACCGAAAGCTGGAAGAGGCGAGAAAGCAGATTCTCCCCCAGAGCTCCCGGAAGGAATCGGCCCTGCCAACATCTTGACTTTAGCCTGGTAAGACTGATTTTGGACTTCTGGTCTCCTTATCCTGCCAGGGACTTAGATCCCTGGGCAGGGGTACTGGGGCTCCCCACAGACCCAGCTCAGGCGTGCTGTCTGGAGACGCCCGGCTCCGTTCCGTTCTCTCCTCGCTCACTTTTGCTCACATATCCTCATCGTCCCTCCGCTCTGCCCCACGCAGCTACTCCAACAGGTGGAAAGGACCACCTGAAACCTCGTCCCGGCCGTAGGGGAGCAGAAGTGGGGTGGGTTAGGAGAAGAGCAAAAGCAAACGCAGTGACTGCAGGACTTCAATACGACCAGGCCTGGCCAGTCTGTTTCCTCAAAGCCCCAAGCGCTCAGTGGAGGAGTCACCGTTCGCTCCTCCACCTTGCTGTCCCTTTAGACCTGGGGGCTGGGAAGGCCTTGCCGAGCTGCTCTCACCTGCCCTTCCAAGGAGACATGTTTCTGTGGGTTAAGCTTAACAGTCATTGTAACCCTCCTTTAAAATCAGTCCGCCGAGGAGCGCAGTAGTCCTCTCTGACCCATGGTCTTGCTTTCTGCGGTGTCAGTTGTTCAGTCAACTACAGTCCAAAAATATTAAATGGAAATTTCCAGAAATAAACAAGTTTTAAATGGCATGCCGTTTCTGAGCAGCGTGGTGGAATCTCTTTCTGTCTTGCTCTGTCATGGGCTCAGTACTATCCATGGTTTCAGGCATCCACTGGGGTCTTGGAACACACCTCCTGTGGGTATGGGGGGGACTCATGTAGCACCTTGGCATGTTACTCAAACTAATTGTTTTTGCCAGAAAGAAGAATTTGAAACAGCAAGAATCTTGCTTCCCGCCTCCCTCCCAATGCCAGCATCTTGTCTCCGTAATACTTGTTCCTGCCCATCGAGGGTCCTGAGTGTCCAGGTGAGTAGGGAGAAGAAAAGGGAAGTGAGTGTCTTCTGAGGACTCACTTCCCCTCTGAGCACATTTGCGCGCACTTAGCCTCCCACCTGGCACGCTGGTGTGGGACAATGATGGCCAAAAGGGGAATGATCCCTCCTGGGAGCTGACACTTCTCCTTAAACTTACTCGCCACCTTCTTCTGTTGCTGCCAGTGAATCTCAACGAGCCATTTTTTCCTGCTTCGGTGACATTTTACAAACCCCCTTTTCTGATAAAATTCTGAGTTAATTAGACATGGGAAGTTTGTTTCGTATTGTGTTGCAGGGCACTTCATGATATAAAGTGTCTAAGATAAGGAAACCTTTGAAATCATTCATCTGGACAGTTTCAGAAAGGATGTCACAACCACTCTGACAACCAATCTTATTTTCCTAGGGTGGTGACTACTTGTAGAGCTCATAGGAGCTTCATTGTATTTATAATTACTCCTTTCACCTTGACACAATGGTCTTTTGACAATAACTGCATAACCTTCTTGGATTTCTTGTTCCTGGCTTGACAGCTAAATCTATGGAACTTGAAATTATTGGTGCTTTCTAGTGTTTAATCGTTTTGCGGTTTGTGTAATCTGAGGCTTGAGGAAATTGGGCAATATTAATATTCTACATTCCACTATTGAAAATGCCCTCTCAAGGTCAGATGTGACCAGCTAGTCTCCATACTCAGGGGTATCTTTCTCAGGCTCTGTCAGCTGATGGTTGAAAATGATAAAAGACCCAAAGTAAACCAGCTTCAGCAAACAGTGGAAAATCTACGGGGAAGAGACTTCAGGCCTGGTTGTTCCCAGGAGCTCCAACAATGTCATGAGAACCCAGCCTCTCGCCATCTCTCTTTTCTGTTTCGTGTCGGCTCTGTTCACAGAAGGACTGTCTCCATGTGCTGTCTAGATGGCTGCCAGAGCCTCTTGTTTACACCCTCCTGTATTCCAGTTCAGAAGGAAAGAATAAGCTTCTAGGCTGCTCAACCTGATGGAAGTCCTAGGATCCACTCTCACTAGGCACGATTAGTCAGGTTGGGAGAGGTGCTCTGAACCCTTTAGTGAGGCTGTGAGGGTTTCCTGCCATGATTGACAAAGCTTAAGTGAGTAGGTCAATCCCAGGGCCAGAGGTCCCATCAGTTCCATCAAGGCAAGTGTTCTGAGAACGCAGGTGGAAGATTTCCTGCCAGCGACACTCCAGCGACTTAGCAGAAGGACGAGAATAGGTGAGGGAACCGCAGATGTCCACTACACTCTCCAACCTTCCTACGGCATCTGACCTTGGTGTCCTTGAAATATGCGTTGCTGCCTTCCCTCGTGCACTGCTCTCTGGGCTCCCTTCTCTCTGGCTGCTCTTCTGTCTCCTCTCCCTCACCTTCCCCTGTGAGCAATGGGATGGCCCCCAGTTGTCCAACCCTATGCCTCCAGCTTCATGGAGTTCAGACTCAACCTGCCATCGCCTGCTCTGTGCCTCTGCCTGCTCCGTTCCCTTCACCACGGTCCCGCTTCCCACCCCTGATTTCTGCAGGTTCATGTCTTCCATATCCTGGCTCTAATACCTCTTTGCGAAACTTCCATATCTAATTTTATTCAAGGCAAAAATAAATTCTCCTTTTTCTCTAAACTCTCATTATCCTCTCGAAGGTAGAATTTTCTGTTTTAGATATTCTGTTATATATTGAAATACGCATGTGTGTCACACTTGAAATACGCATGTGTGTCACACTGGCTATTAGGTCCTTGAACGTGAGAATGTGGCTTGTTTTTATCACCTTCCCCTCTAACCAATCCTCACCCTCCCGCCCCCCCATCAATCCTTACGAAGCTAGTATTTGTTAAATAAATGTGTATGGCGCTTCCCATTTTATTAAGGTGCATTCACATCCATCAGCATTTTGCTTCTCAAAAAACATCCAGAGAGGAAGAACAAATAATCTCAATTTTATATATGAGAGTATATACCAGTTTTATACCAAGGGGATGAAAGACTTAACCGAAGTCTTCTAAGCTAGTTTTCTGGAAAGCTGGAGGTAAACCTAGATCTTTAGAGTTACATTTTCTGCTATTTTTCAAGTAAAACTCGCTGGTATGTATGGTATCATTAAAACTTAGAGAATAGTTGATACCAATTCATTTTCGTTTCAAATAGATTAAATATTTCACTCTGAACTTTCCTCTGCCAGTTTCTGGCATTGTGTGATGATTTGCGCCTCATGTAAAGAATATTTAAAAGGAAATCCAGATCGAGTTGTTCTTTCTGGCTTAGTATGAGTATTTTCATTGTTGCTGCTGTGGGCGATGGCT